CGGAATCAGTGGTGCAGACGAAGGCAGCAGGATGGTCACCGGCATCACAGGACAAGAAGGTCGCTGTGGCCGGATTTATCTCGAAAGGAGAGAAGCCAGAGGGGAGGTGGGAATCGGCCGGTGCCAGGAAGGGCCTCTGGAAGACCCTGACTTACTGAGGAGACGGGTTGGCAGTGACATCCAAGGGCCATATTGGAGCAGAGGGTGCGGAGGAGGTTTTGTCGCAGTCAAGGTGAGAAGGAAGGAGGGTTGGATCGGGAGATCCAATGACAGTGACGTCAGAGAGAAAGCGGGACCAATCAGAAATATTTCTGAAGCAGACACACCGGGATTAGACGATTTGGGACATGGGTGCTGGGGGAGTGAGCGGAGGTGGTGCTGTCTCATCCAGACCTGCGAGTCCCAAAAGCCTCCAGCCTGGGAGTCGAAGGATTAACACATCCTGCTCATCCCACTCTTGTCTTTTTCGTTAAGTATCTATGAGTCTCTTGGGAGACGTCTTCTCTAGAAGAGAGTTGAAAATCAGGTGAGTCCAGGGTCGGACCTCACTCCCTTGACAGCCTGCACAGAAGGAACAGCCTCTTGCCTGGGGTCACTGGAGGGCCCTGGGGTCAGTATTGTGATGTCTCAGAATATCTGAGCTGCAGGAATCCCCAAAGGCAAGAGTCCTCATGAGCTGACAACTCAGGTTGGCCACCTGGACCAAAGATGGACTCTGAAAAGTCAGCGTGGGGGGAAACAAAACAGAAGTTGTCCCCAGAAGTCTTTAAAGAAGGCTCCTTGGTATAACAGAATCCCACCAGATCCGTTTGGTCTACTCCGTCCTTAGGTGAATCCTGACATGATGTCAAGGAGGAAGTCTTTTTTTTTTTTTTTAGTATTTATTTATTTATTTCGGCTGCACTGGGTCTTAGTTATGGCGTGCGAGCTCTTAGTTACGGCATGCATGCAGGATCTAGTTCCCTCACCAGGGATCAAACCCGGGCCCCGTGCGTTGGGAAGGTGGAGTCTTACCCACTGGACCACCAGGGAAGTCCCGAGGTATCTTTTTTTTTTTTTTTTTGCAGTACGCGGGCCTCTCACTGCTGTGGCCTCTCCCGTTGCGGAGCACGGGCTCCGGACGCGCAGGCTCAGGGGCCATGGCTCACGGGCCCAGCCGCTCCGCGGCATGTGGGATCTTCCCGGACCGGGGCACGAGCCCGTGTCCCCTGCATCGGCAGGTGGACTCCCAACCACTGCGCCACCAGGGAAGCCCCCGAGGTATCTTTGATTCCATACGGTTACACTTCTTCCTGAGCTGAAAAATAATTGAGGGGGTCAATCAGTCAATGAAAATTTATTCTGAACTCTGGTTTTTACCCCCGGGCCTTGATCCTCATGCTGTTGTAATCAGTAGGAGCCCCCTTGTGGTCAGAAACAGCCTTCCTTCCCGAAGACGCCTCAGGAAAAGGTGGTCCACGTTCTCCCGCCCCACTGGCAGGTGGTCTCTGATGGGTGTAGAATCACTTCTGAGATGCAGCTTGGAAAAGCCAATCGGCAGAGCTTTACGTGGGTTGGAATGAAATTCATTCTGTTACCATTTGGGGCTGATGAAGAGTCAGGGGCAGGTGGGCTGGATAGGCCTCACCAGGCGCAAAACGAGCGTTCAGAGATACGTTCTGTGCTTCACATCGGGTGGAGGACTCGCTCACGTCCTTCTGGAAATCTCTGCAGCAGGACACGGTCATGCTCGTGTCATTGCCTGACGTGTGCCAGCTCCTTAAATGCTACGACGGGCAGCCGTACAAAGTAGGAGGACGCTCCTTCGAGGCGCCGGTTTGCATCCTTCCCAGAAATTGGTACCAGATGCTGGGGTTAGACCCGCAGCCCTCACTCTTGACGGTGTCCGTGGACCTCAGACCTTCCGAGGAGGCAGTCGTGGGGCCCATGGACCGTGAGCCTTGGATCTTTCCCTAAGACTCAGCTTTTCTTTCTGAATTCACTGAGAATCTGAGTTAGCTCATGTAGAGAAAAAGCCAGTGCACATGGTGACCTGTGGCTCCGGTGACCCGTGAACCCTGAACTGAGTCAGAGTTCTTCCTCTGCTATTTCAGCCAAAAGAGAGCTTTTTAAAAGGAGTAATTGGAGTAGCTGCTTTGCATTATATATAACTGCCAGGCCTTGCGGGTTTGTTTTTTAAGCTCTGGAGTGATTATTGTAGTTTGGGGGTCAATTATATATAATTTCTACAGTGAAAATGTGCTCCCCTTAAGCTAGTCATGAACTTTTACCTTTTATTTTATTATTTTCTTAGGGAAAAAAAAATCCAGGGCTTCTAAATTTTTACCACAAAGGTTGAAAACTGGAGGCTGGGTCCAGCCCTTAAATATTTTGGTTTGAACTCCCCTCCTGCCCCCCACCCCGTACTGGCCAGCATTTGGGGTGTTTAAATTTTTGAATCAGTTATCAATACTTGGAAATCTTGGGAAGAATTCCGATTCCAGCTTCTCCAGCCTGATATCCTGCCCAATGGGCAGTGGCCAGGGCTGCGAGGTAGCGGAGCCCTCGGCAGGTGGAGACTTGGCCCCTCTCTCTCTCTGTCTGTGACTCACGTGAACTGCGGCCACTCGTAACCAGAGGCCGTCCACACCGGCCGGCAGTCACGTGTCTTGACACTTCTTTTAGGCTGCGTCGTGTCTTAGTTGCGGCCCGCGGGCTTAATTGCCCCCGCGGCGTGTGGGATCTTAGCTCCCAGACCAGGGTTCCCAGGCTTCGAACCCGCGTCCCCCGCATTAGAAGGCGGATTCTTTACCACTGGAACACCAGGGAGGTCCCTGTCCTGACACTTCTGTTGTAGGGAATTGAGGACGTTCTCCTTCATGACTTCTTGGAAGATGTTTCTATTCAGCATCTGAACTCTGTCCAGTTGTTTAGTCAGAAGTTTAAGCTGCAGTTGCTCACTGCTTCGGAAGGTTCTCCAGCCCCTCTCACAGACCTCCAAGCTCAGAGGCAGGTTTCGAGGGACAACATAAATGCTGTGAGAGTACATGAACTTTCCACGTGGGGCAGGCCTCCTCCCCTCTTGTGTTAGCTCTGTCCTCAGGCACTAAACTGCAGTCCACCAGGCCTGGCCGCTTCGGCTGTCCCGGCTTTTCCTGTGGTGCCCGCAAGGGATGCTTGTGCTGATACATCAACACCCTCTTACCATTTCCCCCTCGTGAGTCGCAGCGGGGCCAAGGGAACAGGGATGTGGGAAAGGGCAAGGGGCAGGCGGGCCGTGCCTCCCCTCCCTTGAGCCAGCTCCCGGCGGCAGCTGCAGTCCTCAGCTCTCTGCCCACCCAAGCAGGGCCGGCAAGGGTTCCGACCCCAGCATCCTCCCGCCTCTCTGTGCTCTGGGTGGGCTCCCGCGAGGCTCAGAGATTATCTCGCCCTCCTTAGAAATTCCGCCCACGTGGTCCCAGTCACCCTGGTGACTTTCCCCTCCATCCGGCTGCCAGGGCACGGTGTCTGAACACTTCTGCTGTTGCCTGCGACGGCTTCCTCTTGGGAGCCCGAGCTGCTCTGCTGGCTGTCCCCGGCCTCCCTGCATCTGACCCTTTGGTATCCCTCCAGCTCCGTGGCCCTTGTGAACGCCGTCACACACCTACTGTGTGGGTCGCATGTTTTACGGTCCTGGAAATTCCCGGTTTTCTCCCTCCTGCCTTTGTGAGGTTCTCCATCACTGCCTCTAGCTCTCCCCGCCCACCAAGCCGTCACCACTTCCTTCCCTTCCCCTCTGCAGGTCTGCCACGCTTGCACCCTGTGCGCTGTCTCCCCCGAGGGTCCGCAGAACAGGCCACATCTAATCTTCACCCACGCCTGGCATCCCCAGCACGCCGGGCTGTGTTGATCCCTTTCTGACCCACTTGGAAAAGTTCACGTTGCCAGGCTGGGCCCTTGGGCCCGTGTGATTGCCGGCCAGGAAGGCAGCAGGAAGCGTCCTGCAGAGAGAAAGTGAGGTCTGGAACTTGCTGCGAAAGGAGGGGCGTGAAAGGGGTCCAGTTTTCCGGTGGCCCCTTCACCGCCTGCGCTAATCCCAGCCCTCTGGCTCTCCAAACCCCTCTAGGATCTTCAGTAGCTTCCTAGTTGATGGGCCTGCCTGCAGCCTTGCCCCGCCTCAGTCACACGCCCTTCCCCTCCCAGCAAGTGCTCTGTAACAGCGATTCCATCAGTTAACAACTGTCCACGGCCCCCATTGCCTGGATGGTCCTCTCTCCTTCACTGCTTGGCCTCTGGCCCGACCCTGTCCCCCTGCCCCCCATGACCCACTGGCGTTCCCCAGCACCGCAGACTGGTCATCCCCAAGAGGCCCTTATTCCTACTGCTGTCTGTGCCTAGTCGCCCCCACCCCACCATTGCTCCCCCGCCAACTCCTACCTACGCGTTAAGGCCCAGGCAGAATGTCCCCTTCCAGATGAAGCCGTCCCTGATACCTTCTTCCGCTAGAACTGCTCACTTCCTTCCTGTGTCTCACGTTGCCGGGAGCACTTACTCTGCTGTTGGGACGCTGTTTGTGCTCCTGGTAACCTACCCTTCGTGGGGAGCCCCTGGAGGGTGGAGGTCATTCCCCTTCATCCAGCCGTGCAGCCCGCACCCAGCAGACGCTGCACGAGTGTCCCCGGTAAGTGAATATGTGAATAAATGAGTACATTCAGGAGAGCACCTCCTCTCTCATGTTTTCTCATTTCTGATCGTTTCCCGAGGAGAGCATGGAAAGATGAGAAGCTGGGGGAAGTCAGCGTTCCTGGGCAAAATCCTCAACTTCACGGAGCACACGGCAGACGCTGGAGGACATCACTTTCCTGGCATTGCGCAAGTGGGGGGCGGTTTAGGCAGTGCGCCCCTGCCGGGATCTCGGAGCCGCTTGGGAGGGGCGAGCGGGCAGGGGGGTGGGGAGGCTGGGGGCCTGGCTGGGTGGGGCAGGTGGACGGCTCTGCCCTCCTGGGCGGGTGGGTGCGCCCCCCCGTGTGCGCTGCCTTCCTGCATGCAAACCTGAAGTTACAGCATCAGTAATGGGCGTGTTCATTGTTCTTCAGAGAAGTTACTGTGTTTGTCTAAAGACTAAGAAGAAAGACGTACCTTTCCAACATGGCAAAGGTAGGTTTCAGGCAACCACACAGGAGGGAACAAAGCAGCTTTCCCAAAGCGAAAAGTGCAGGCTGCCAGTGACCCTCCGAGCGGGCAGCAGGCCCGTGCAGAGAGGCCGGCCCACCCACCTGGAGGGCAGAGGACAGCTTGCTGGGCCCCAGGTGCTCAGCTGGAAGCCACCCCTCCTCCCCTCCGGCCTCCAGGCTCTGCCCGTGGAGGAGAGGACGCAGGGCCAGCAGGTCACGGTTCTAAAGTTCCAGAGGGAGGCCCCCCAGGGGTGGCGTCCCGGGCAAGCCAACGTCAGAGGTGGAAGGGCATTGTAGCAGAGCCTAGGGCAGACCCTGCACCCTGTGCACATGGCCCTGCGGACTCTGTGTGTCGGGGCACCAGGTCCTCGGCTCTGACCTTCTCACTCCTGGGTGTTAGCGGAGGGGAGAGAGGGGCTGAAGGAGAGGTTCTACGATCTGTTCTGAAATCCCACGGCGGCAGATGGGGACGGAGCCTGGGACCAGCCCTCTGCCCCAAATCAGCCCCGGCCAGGGGGCGCCCAGCCGGGACCGCCCTTTGACCACCTCCATCCCCCACCAGTAGGGTTGTTTCTCCTTCTGAGCTAGAGGCCCATCCGGTTCTGGGCACCTTCACCTTCCCCACTGGGGCAATGGCAACGACCTTGCAACACGACCTCCATCCCTACCCACTGGAGCGGCCAGCTCAGAGTCCAGAGCCTGGCCTGCTGGGAGCCATACCTTTACACTCACTGTTCCAGGAGAGTTTACTGAATACCCAAGGGCCCCTTTCCTCTCCGTAAAACAGACATGGCTGTAGTGCCTGCTCTTGGGGCTGGTGTGAGGATGACTCACCGCTCGTCCTGCAGACCCCGAACACGTAAGGGAGAGGTTTGTCCCATTGGACAGCGGAGGCCCAATTCACTGCCCCAGGCTCCCCAGAGGAAGGACAGGAGAGCTTCTGAGTCCCCACAGCCATCCTGTAGAGGCCGCCCGCCCTGTTGCTTCTCCAGAACCGCACTTGCCTGGCAGAGCCCAGTTACCCACCGTTTCCCTCTCTAGAGAATTTAGGCCCCTTGCTCGGGGTACAGAGAATAGGGAACTGGGAGGAGGAGCTGCAGGCCCCTGAGACATCTGCCCGTGAGCAGAAGCGTCCTAAATGCCGACTTTCAGAAAGGCAGTTCTAGAATGTGTGCAGTTTGAACATCTTGATTGTCATTTAGGATTCAGGGTTTGGTTTTTGGTTTTTATTTTTTTGCGGTACGCGGGCCTCTCACTGTTGTGGCCTCTCCCGTTGCGGAGCACAGGCTCCGGATGCGCAGGCTCAGCGGCCATGGCTCACAGGACCAGCCGCTCCGCGGCATGTGGGATCTTCCCGGGCCGGGACATGAACCCGCGTCCCCTGCATTGGCAGGTGGACTCCCAACCACTGCGCCACCAGGGAAGCCCTAGGATTCAGTTTTAACGGGCAAAACTACCCAAATCCACTTTTTCTCTTCGACAGCAAGAAAGTTTGGGTAATTTGGAGAGGGGGCATTAGGCCAAAGTAAGATGACAAGATTTCACCAAGTGTCGCGTTTGCTGTTGTCTTTAGACCATGAGATGGTGCTGAAAAACAGCAGGAGAGTCGGCATCCTGCAGCTGGATCTACACGCCATCATGCATCAGGGCGCCTTGGATACTTCCCAGCAAGCCCTGACGAGTAACCCGAGCGGCACTGACGACCTGGAGGGGAACACAGAGATGAAATGTACTCCTCCTTCCTCAGCTGCTTGGTTGCAGTGTTTGGTATATAATCAGGGCTGCTATGGCCATCACTGATTTATAGATTTCCTAATAGAATTAGAACGTTCCTCTTTGACGTTATAATTTACCTGCTCGCACACCTCTTCCTGCAGAAGATGAGGAGTGCCCCGAGAACCCTCTTCCAGGGCCTGCCCTGGGGTCCATAGTGCCAGGACGTATTTGCCGAGTGAGTGTGGTTGCTGATTGACAATATTTCTTGTCTCCTTTGGAAAACCCTCCTGCATCCCTCTTGCAGATGCACAGATCGCCTCTTCGGGCCTGAGTGGGATTGGCCGAGCTCTCTGCCTTGCCAGTTTCTGCTCTAACTGTAGTTTTGTTTGTTTGTTTGTTTACGCACCCTCGCAGCTTGTGGGATTTTAGTTCCCTGACCAGGGATTGAACCCAGGCCCACGGCAGTGAGAGCACAGAGCCCTAACCACTGGACCGCCAGGGAATTCCTGCACCAAGTGTTATTTTTAACAATGTGAAGTTTAACGGTGGTGCTTTGACCTTATTTCACTACTTTACAAACAAGTGCTATATAAGCCCATGAATATTCGTGGCCTTTGCTATTGTCCGGGGAAGGGGGAATTTCCCCCTCTACCCGTCTTGAGTTCTCCTGGCTGGATTAATAATCAACCTGGCGCAAGACAGGTTCACAGGAGAAAAAGACACAAATTTTAAATCATGTGCACGGAGGTCTTACAGAAATGGGACCTAAGAAGTAGACAAAGGAACTTAGGTTTTGGGGTGCCCAATTAGTGAAGACGCTAAACAGAATTGGGGCTTGGGTAGTAAATTAAAGAACTAACATGGTTTGGGACTTCCCTGGCTGTCCAGTGGTTAAGACTCCGTGCTTTCATGGCCGAGGGCCTGGGTTCAATCCCTGCTCGGGGAACTAAGATCCTACAAGTTTGGCGGCGCGGCCAAAAAAAAAAAAAGGTAACATGGTTTGTTTCTACATGGTTTGTTCTCAGCCTGAATTCCCTGTCTCTGGGGCTAAGGGTGTCTCTTTACATCCTGGTGCCGGAAGGGCACCTTTCACACCGGAGATTTATTTCCTGTTTTCAGGGAGACCGAGGGGGAGGGTCAGTGTCCTTCCTGTGTTGGCCGTTTCTTAAGTAACTTTTCAATCGAATTAACCAACATGCCACTGCGGCACATTTTGGAACCGCGTACTCTGGGCCCCGACACTATCTGACAATTGTAGTTGATCTTAAGGAAGAAAATCTCCATTCTGATGCCAAAATCTGGCCTCTGTACGCTGGTGCCAGATTAAATCTCAGCGTTGTGGGTGAAGCAGAAAGAAATAGCTTTATTGCTTTGCCAGGTAAGCGCGGGCCACAGCGTGCTCATGCCCTCAAGACTGTGTGTCCTGCCCTGGAGCGGGTCGTGAGGAGTCTTATAGCGTTCAAGGAGCAGGGCGTGGTCAGCTCGTGGACACTCTTCTGATTGGCTGGTGGTGAGGTCATCGGGAGTCGGCATCATCAACCTTCTGGTTCCAACCGGTCTGGGGTCTCCGTGCTCGTGGGCAGCAGACAGTTAACTTCGGCCACCTGGAGGGGGTTTCAGTATCTGCAAAACAGCTCAAGGAACAGGGCTCAGAATTCGCTAGAGTCCTTGAGGAGGAACTAAAGGTCCTTGACTGTGCTTAATGGCTAAAGTATTATTATTTTGTCTTGCTTGCCTGTTTTCCTTTCTTTCTGCATTTTCTCACTTCTCTGATTAAATTTCTTCTTTGGCTGAAGTTTCTCTACAGACAAAAGGCAGGCGGGGGACACGGGTGGAGGTCTATTCTGGGAAGGCCCCGTAGGGTCCTCCCTCAGTTACAGTTCCACGAAGAGCTGGCTTACGCGTGGTTACATCACTGAGAGGGGACAGTCACCACAGCAGGAGGCTCCCCACTCGGGGGGAGCCGGGAGCTGCTTCAGGTGGGGCTGCAGACCAGTTACCACCTTCTCCCCCGGTCGCTAGGCTTTGGTCTGAGGGCTGCCAGGAGGGGTCAGCCATGCATAAAGCTGCCTCCCAGTGCCTGAAGCCCCCTCAAGGTGTGGGCTGTGGGCTTCATCACGGCCCGCCCAACACGGGGCTGCACACGGGGCACCTCGGCATTTCACCACCAGATGGCTACGTGGATTCAGCGATGCATTAAAAGCAACGCAAAGTATCCTGTCCTCTTCCTTTGACCTTGAGGGGGGCTGACTTGGTAGGATTGTACCAGTTATTAAAATAGTGAAATGGGTCCTTACTTGCTGCTAAGTAGCTCCCTCCCCCCACTGCTTGCCTGTCCCTTGATTATATCCCCTGTCCCTACTGCCTGGCTGTCCCAAATCCCAGATCCTCCCCTGGGAGACTCCCCTCCAACCAGACCAGCAGCTGAAAGGTGAACACCTAACCCAGCAGGCTTCAGGGCAATGGAAGCCCCCCTCCCAGGCCACTGGCTTCCCCAGCAATCCCAGCTGGCTGCCCAAACCTTGCTCTCACCCCCAGCCCAAGCCCAGGGAGACCCAGGAGGCATGAGGCCTCTCCCCCAGGTGCCCGCCAGCCTGCCAGGGGCTCCTGTTGGCATCCTTGCATGTCCTTTGCGGAGGGCGCAGAGCCGGCAGGGAGGCAGCATGACCCCTGGCAGACGAATGCCTGAGATGTACCTGGAAGATCTTCCAGACGGAGCCTGACCAAATGTGCACCAGGGCCATGGCAGCCCACTGCGTTATCTAAATTTCCTTGGCACATGGGGGCACTCAGACAGATGCGCTTGCACTGTCCTTCCACTCTCAGCGCTGCCTGCGCGGGTGCGGGACCCAAGTCCCAGTGTCCCGCACTTGGGCTGCAGCCCTCGGGCCTGTACTGACAGGGTCTGTAGTCCTGGGCAACTCACCTAACATCCCTCAGCGGCTTTGATGTCCACCATCAGTTAAAGGACTTGAACAAACTACTCCCTTTATAAAAATGGCAGGGATGGGTGAGGTCACGTCTGTACCCTCCAGTGAGCTCACTTGGAGCCCGGTTCTGTGTGATTACAAGGTGTAGTTATGATTTCAAACTATTTCTTCCCATTTCAACAAGTAGCTGAGGGGATTGCTAGAAGGCGAGACCACAGAGCTCTGAACCAGACGACCTGGGGTGACAGACCCAGCCCAAGGCAGCCTTTGTGTTCAAAATGAGGGCGAGGCCGCAGGGAATTCCTTTGAACTGCAGTGGGATGTTATCCCCTAGGTCACCTGGGATACAAATACCTACGGGGAAATTCTGCTCTACCGCTCACAATCGGGTTTGTTTTGTCTGTTGATAGGTTTGAGCAGTTTAATTTCTTTGCTGGGGACATCAACAGACCTCAGTGTATTCCTGAATTGTCTGTCTTCAAGCCTCCAAACATTTGTCTTCCAGGTACAAAACCACGATTTTTTTTTTTTTTCAGTAGAAGAAGTGGGTGTGGGTCATTCTAGCTACATTATAGCACTGAGTGCCCAGGACCTGGTGCAAAGGAAAAGGTTTTCTCTGGCGCTCTGGACAGAAATGTGTCAAGGCCGGGACGGGGTTCGGGTTGGGGAAGTGGTGTCTCAGAGGCTGCCACATGCAACTCTGTGTGTGTGTTTGCTTGCAGGTGAGCACGTGTGTGCATATGTGAGCGTGTCTGTGCGTGGGAGGGCATGTGAGTGGGTGTGGGCAGGTAAGTGTTGGTGTGCAGTTGAGGATGCGTGCACGAAGCAGGAGTGTTCAGGAGGGAGATGGGTTGGTCTGTTTGGGGAGAATGGCGCTCATCTGGGGGTTTTGCAGACAGTCCCAGTAAGGTGTCAGGCTTGGGTTCACAAAAGCCAAGATGAATTGGTTTCGGACGTGGGCGGGTTTGGTCCTTCTGCTGGACGTGTCACTTGGACTTCTCAGTAGGCCCGTTGGCTTGACTGTCGTCATCACCCTCATCAGCAGTCACGTTACCAAATCAGGTCCAGCTGCTTGCAGCGCAAAAACCAATACTCACGAGAGGCAAATGTTGGCAGGAAGGGAAACTGCCTTTGAGCAGAATACCGGCAGTCCGGGGAGACGGTGGACTCCGTGTTCTCCAAAACCATCTCCGAAGATTCTGCTCGGCCGAGAAAGTTTTTAACGCGGAAAAGGGAAGTCATCTCAGGTAATCACTGAGATGGGCGGTCAGAGTGGTCACCATGCCCCACTGTGTGCAGGCTTGTCGACTTCCTGTGCTCTTTCTTTAGATGCTGCCGTGTTCACACAGTTCTTGAGATTACTGAAGGGGAAGCTGGGGAAGAGATCGGTCATCATTTCTATTTCTTTGATCTATGGAAAGAACCTACAAGTTAGGCAAAGTATCGTGTGATCAAAAGATCTGAAAGGTGTGCTAGGGCCAGAGATGAGTAGAGCATGGGGGCGCCTGGTTTGAGGTTAGTGACAAGACGAAGGGACCTCCTGCAAAGAGCTCTTTTCTGCCCAAAGCTGCTTACAGTCACCCTGTAAGAGCGGAGGATGCTGTCAGGGGAAGCCCCAGCACCCTGGCCCCAGTGGGCCTGAAACACGGAGCCTCCCGCCCCTCGAGGCGTCATCCTCTGAAGGCCGAGGCAGCAGGAAAAGACCTTGACGAGGGAGTTGGGTTCCACTGGGAGGGGTGGGCGTAGGGAAAGTGGGGCACCGGTCTAGGGAAAAGGGGGGCATCTCTGCAGCTCTCTGCAGCAAGGACCTGGAGGGCCTGGGACCAGAACGTGACTCGGGTTTTCTCCTTAAGCCTCCAGCCACATGTCTTCCTGCCCCCTCCATCTCCCCCAGAAAACCCAGGAAGGAGCTTGAAAGCTGGTTCCAAGCCTTGGCAGGTGTCTGTTTCCATTTTCTGCTCCTTGGATATAGTCTTTCCAGGTTCTCTGTGGTTTTGATTCCCTCTCCTTGGTCCTCGGCAAAGCTCACTTGTACCAGTGGTAATGTGCGCGGGTGCGTAGCCGCAGAGACAGCGATTCATTCGACAGGATGAAGCTCTCCATCCTCTGGTCCTTGTTTCAGACACTCACGCAGCCTCCACTTCACCCCCGCTGAGCCCCCGAGACCGTCGTACCGGTCCTGCTTGCAAGACCGTGTAACGCGGTGTTTCCGTCCTCACCCCTGCAGCATCACGGGTGAGCGTCTTCTTCGAAAAATGGTGCTTTTGTAACTGCCTGCCTTTGAAGGGCTTGTTTTTGTAAAACAACCTGGCTGATAAAACAAACAAACAAAAAACCCCACAGACTGTTGTCAGTGAGCTACTCAGACTGTTAAAATGTGACGGGCTTGTCCACGATGACTAATGGCCTCAAGTTGTTAGCACCTGGCAGAGCCAGAGGAGAGAAATGCTCAGCTCTGTCCTGCTTCATTTGTTCCCCTGGTTCTCGCGCAGTTTGGGCCCAGGGGTCCTTTCTAAATGTAGGAACCTGAGGTGTCACGCTGCCGACGAGAGGAGGAAAGCTGGGTAATGTCTGTGTTCACTTGTGAATGTGCGGCCATCGCCCACAGCTCCTTCTCTGGATGGTTTTAGGAAACATCCTTGTGTGTGTTGAACACCAGCAGGGCTCCCCCCGAGAGCCCCGTTCCCGGTGGTCCCAAGTCATGCGGGGAGGATGCCGCTGCCGAGGGGAGTCTGTTCCCAAACCCAAGTTCACGTGCCCGATGCACAGTGAGGCCACACAAACCGAGAGGCTGGAGTTCGGAGCAGAGAAAGGTTTACTGCAGGGCCCAGCAAGGAGAGAGGAAGGAGATGGGTGGCTCGTGCTCAGAATACCCCGGGACTCCCGGAAGGGTTTCAACAAAGCCATTTGAAAGGCCAGGGGAGGGGCGGGGCCGGGTCCCAGGGTGTGTGATCAGCTCGTGCACAATCCTCTGATTGGTTGGTGGTGATCAGTCCTTAGGCCCCAGCAGGTCTCATGATCATCAGGTCGTTAATTTCCTCCATTTGGTGGGGGCGGGGGGTTTAGCATCTGAAACTCTCAGGAAATATGCAGGAGATACTATTATCTTGGTACTTCAGAGAGGAGCTACAGCAGAGGATATTGGGGGGGGGGGGGTTCTGTCCTGGGAGGGCCCCATAGGGTCCTGCTTGGTTACAGGTCCACACCCACCCAGAGCCCAGGGTGGGCCTTTGGGGGCTCTCAGCGGGGGCTGAACAGAAACCGAGAGGAAAGGGCATCTCCTTATTCCTGGCCAGTCCCTGCCGCTCTTCCTCGGAGACTTGAGGTTGAGTGTCTGGGTGGTCCTCACGCAGTAGAGTCAGGAGAGACTCGGGGGGTTCACTCCAACCTGTGCTGGAAATTACATATGCCTCTGTTGGTTTGTAACTCACCTGAAGTGTGGCCCGAGGCTGCTGTCAATCTAGTGGGGGGTTCCTTAGTCTGCACGTGGAGGCATCTCCCCGGTACCCAGTTTAGTGCCACTCAGGCCATCGATGACCTTGGCTCCGCTGGACACACAGATGGGCCTTCCAGGCCTCAGATAATTCACGCGGCGCAGCGGCGCGCTTTGTGCCTTGCAGAGTCGGCACCCTTCCTTCCGTCACTGTGGGACTCTGGGCCCCTTCTTCACGGTGTCAGACTCGCCACGTGTAAATTAGCCCCCGACCCTCTCGAGCTGCCGAGGGGGCTGCAGCAAGGCCATCCCGCAGGCCTCCCCCCCCGTTGCTCCCCACAAGTGACCTTTTTCTAAAAAGAATTGTGTGGAAGTCAGCTGCTCTCCCACCTCCTGCCTTCTCCCCGCCCACTTCAAAGGGTTCTGCCTGGGACCATCCCCACAGGAGATGGTGCAAGACCCGGCCCAGGCCTGGGCCGCCTCTCACCTCGGCTTTCCTTCTTCCTGCCCCACTTTGACCTCGTGAGACTGTCTGTGCGCCACCCGTGGGTGCATGTGACAACACGCTCGCCTTGATTTTCATCATAAACCCCAGCACTTTTTTCTCTCTAAAATGTCACAGCCGAGCAGAAGCAAAGCGGAGTTTATCAGATTGGCCGCCAGCTTCCAGCTGAGATGGAATTTCCTCCTCGCGGCCGGTGAGCAAAGCTATGACCCTCTGGCACAGAGACAGCTTCGGTAAGTCCGAGAACGCACAGCATTTTGTATTCTACCTTTTACAGATGTTATTACAGCCTAAGCGTTTTCCACATTGCTATATGGAACCCACTCGTCTTTTTCTCACCTTTTTATGTAAAATACGACACACAGAGAACCACACACACACAAAACCGTATTAATCTCATTACTATGGCAATATGGTAGTTCATCAAACAGCTGGACCACACCTCACTCTCCTGTCAATGAAAATAATCAATAAACAATCTAAAATAAGAATAGAAAAGGGTTTTATGTGAGCCAGACAGAACTAGCCTGGAAGCCAGCTTCCCAGATGACTCTGAGAAACTGCTCCGGAGAGCAGCACAGTTTTATATCTTGTCAAAACAAAGAACATTAAACAAGTCAGGGTTTCATTTCTTCAAGGTTATTATTTAAAAAAAAAAAAAAAAAGAACAGACCAGCACGTACCCAGCAAGTCAGTATGGCCTTGCCACCTGGGAAGGGGGACTTAACCATCAAAGGAGTAACAAGTATCGGTGTCCCAGGAAGGGAGGCATTTCATCTTTATTTTTAACATGGACATTTTTACTTCCGGTCAGTGTGTCCTTTTCTCTAATAATTAAAGCCGAGGTACAGTGTAAGCTTTGATAGGCCACACACAGGCTATTTTAGTTAGCATCAAACTCAAGTTCACTCATGTATAAGCCAGAATGACTTCCCGGTATCTCAATACGTGGACATGTCTTTTGTCACTCCCCTGCCATCGTTGTCGGACGCGCAGGAAATCTCCCCTGGCTTTTGAATTGTGCGTTTTCAGACATCGTGAGCAGAGCAGGAAGCATCCTCTTTTTCTCCATCTCCCGACTGAGCTGGACCAAGAAATGGGTTCTTCGGGGGCACCCGGATTTAACCTTCAGGAATAAGACTTGATAAAGTCCCCACTGCGTGCAGATGGTGGAAAGAGTAAAGCAGCGTCCGTTTTGCCAACTTTCTGGTCCAGTAGAGGGTCTTTCTGGGCCCAGGGGGTCCCATCTGTCACAGCTGTGGTACAGACACAGCACAGGAGAGTCGCGGGGAGGAACAGTCACCACTGAGCCCCCCAGCCCCACGGAGGGGATCAGTCGTTTCAGCAGATGTCGTGCGTCCCTGCAAAGTCCCAAGCACCTTCCTGGGCACTGGACACACAGCCGTGGACAGACAGACAGACAGAGCCTGCAGCCCACAAACTCACACACCTATCAGGGCAAGGAATCCCTGCCCCAGGGCTGCCAGATGCCCTTGCAGCGGGTACACAGGACAGGAAGAGTAGACAAGCCCTGTTCTAGACCGTTCTGCAAACACTGGGGCCCTTTGGAGGGTTGTGGCTGTACACAGCCATATATGTGACCCCCATTCGTCATGAGGCTATCCCCGCAGATGAAGGTCAGCGCAGAGTTCGTGTGCAGCCACAGGAGGAAAGCCAGCTCTGTGGTTAGTGCTGTCGACTGAAATAATGCACAGCCTGAAAGTTGAGAGTTGTGTTTTATTCGGTGGACAAACCCGAGGACTAAGGTCCGGGACACAGCATCTCAGATCACTCCGAGGGACGGCTCCGAAGAGGCCAGGTGGGGGCCGGGGTAGATAGGAGCCGTTTTTGCAACAAAGACCAGGTAGTAGGAACATCAAAAGATGACTGTTAATTAAAGAAAACCGGACATCTCGAGGTAAAGAGTTTAGCGCTTTTCTACGTATGGGAAGACGCAAGAGTCTGAGCTCTCTGGCATCGTTCCTTTGATGTGCTCCTCGGCTATCTGGGGCCAGTATCCTGCGTTTTCTCCTCCCGAGTCTCCTCAGGGTGCACGGCTGGGGGCGGCTGCAGCAGCTCATTGCTAGATGGGGGGCCTCCCGCCCGGATCCTGAGCTCCCTCAGGGCTCACGGTCTCGGGGTGGCTGTCATGTGACCCGCCCGGATCCTGAGTTCCCTCAGGGCGCACGGTCTCGGGGAGGCTGTCATGTGACGGCTTGGTGGCTGCAACACCCTTTGTTTACTGATGCGGCCGGTGGCGTCCTCAGTTCACAGTGCTTTCCCCTCGGCCTTCTAGGGCCTTCATGTGAAGTCAGAGTATTCACACCACTAGTTTTTCCCCTTCATGTGGACCATGGTTTCACAAAGTTAAACAAGCCAGGAGTTGTCTGTGGGTCAGGCTTATTCCAGACCAGGCCGTGCCTCTCATGGAGCCAGGTTCTCTCACCTGAGATCTAGCAGAGAATAGTGAATATCGTATAAAGCTTTGAAATGGACAGAAAGGGTCAACACAGCCTTCTGGTCTTCCGTGGTCTTTTGAGTTATTTTACGAATCTCGTAAGTTGTAGCAGACAGATACTATTGCAGATGATTCTCCTCCACACAGTGCAAACCAGTGCGTCAGCGGGATCAGTTGATAAGTGCCCTGAGCACAGAGCTGTGTGGCATCTGTCTGTAGATTACTGTCAGTGGCATGCTTTGTTGTCTACATATGTATGTATGTTTAGTGTCTTGAATTCTCTCTCCTTTTTTTAAAAAAAAAATTTATTTATTTATTTTTGGCTGCGTTGGGTTTTCACTGCTGCACCTGGGCTTTCTCTAGTTGCGGTGAGCTGGGGCTACTCTTCGTTGCGGTGCGTGGGCTTCTCATTGCCGTGGCTTCTCTTGTTGCAGAGCACGGGCTCTAGTCGCGTGGGCTTCAGTAGTTGTGGCATGCAGGCTCAGTAGTTGTGGCACACGGGCTTAGTTGCTCCGCGGCATGTGGGATCTTCCCAGACCAGGGCTCAAACCCGTGTCCCCTGCATCGGCAGGTGGATTCTTAACCACTGCGCCACCAGGGAAGTCCTGAATTCTCTTTTGAATCAGCTGCAACATCTTACTAGTTCCCTCATTAATTGAGTCCCGTAAAATCTTTAACACACATTCACTTTATATCTGTATAAGAGATATTTGTATCTCTTCATTAAGTAATTGTCTTTTAACGATTATAATAGGCCAGATTACTGTGTAGCACAGGGAACTCTACTCAGTGCTCTGTGGTGACCTACATGGGAAGGAAATCCAAAAAAGAGGGGATCTGTGTATACGTACAGCTGATTCACTTTGCTGTACAGCAGAAACTAACAAAATGTTGTAAAAGACTATACTCCAATAAAAATTAAAAAGGAAAGAAAAGCATTAATAGCCAAAAAAGAAAAAGAGAGAGAGAGAGAGAGGCAAGGATGGGAATGTTACTTCTTACAAGATTCACAAGCAAGGTGTAATTTGAAAAGAGATCCAAAGAAAGTAGGAAGAAGGAGAGGTGTGAGAGTCTTCCAGAAGGGAGGGAGAATGAATCAGAGACATGAAGTAGCCCCTGGGCCCCCGTGATGTTATTGGCCATGAGTTTAAAATGATTAAGGAATTTAAAATCCTCATTGGTTTCCAGGAATATGGCAAGCTAGTGCAGTTGAACCAACTCATCAGGTGAACACATACTTGTTAGAAAAACTATAAAATATCTTGAAAGCATCAAAAAGCGGGCAAGGGACTTCCCTGTCAGTCCAGTGTTTAGGACCCCTCGCTTCCACCGCAGGGGGTACGCGTTCCATCCCTAGTGGGGGAACTAAGATCCCGCAGCCAAAAAACGGCCCAAAAAACCAAAACATAAAAAAAAAAACCAACAAGCAATATTGTAACAAATTCAATATAGACTTTAAAAATGGTCCCCATCAAAGAAAAAACCTTTAAAACAATAAAAATAAAAAACATAAACACCAAGGCGATGTTTTGCAATCCACACAACCTGGATGACCTCTTAGTAGAGGGCAGTCATCAAATATCACACCTGCCCAGGGTGGGGAGTCCAGTGGCACAGCTCACACACCAGAACATCCAAAGGGCTGCACTGCAGGTAGGGGTGAGTCAGAAGTAAGGCTGCACTCCTGAGCCCTCCTACCTGCCTCCACCCACCCAGGAAACAACAAAGAGACTTGCTGAGTATCTCAGGGTGGGGAGAGCTGTCCTGAGAAATTGTAACCAAGAGCTTGCCCCAGATCAGATTTTAAAAACATTTTTTTGGAGATATACATACCCTAAATTCTTCTCATTTAAAGTGTACAATTTGTTGATGAAAAAATTAATCAGTAGTCCATCTCAGAAAGGAAAATGTTTATTTGAGCCAACCTGAGGATTATTCAGAAAGCTCTGAGAACAGTTCTGCCTTGACCTGTCAGAGGTCAAAGCATAGTTATATAAGTTTTTGAGACAAAAGGTTATACGTCAAATGGCATATTATTGACAGTTTACACCATCCAGATCTACACGGACAAAGTGAAGAGCTGGTCATGGGTCATCCTGGCCCCTTACAAGATCAAGAAGGAAGGTTATCTGGTTAACGCAGATACACAGTATACACTATAGAGAAGGCAAACAGGCAAAGACAAATTTTATAATTAAATTTTCTTGGCTTGCCATAAAACGTGAATTTCATTTCATCAAATTCAGTGATTTTAGCATATCTAGAGAGCTGTGCAACCATGACCTTGATCTAATTTTAGAACATTTTCATCACCTCAGAGAATCCCCACACACATTCACATTCATTACCTTTTCCCCTTTTTCCTGGCCCCCAGAAACACTCTTTTTATTGAAATGATAATTCCATTGAATGGATATACCACATTTTATTTACCCATTCATCATCTGATGGACACCCAGGTGGTTTTCACTTAATAGAAAACATGAATAAGTTCGTTTCCGTTTGAATGATGCCTCTGTAAACATTTGTGTACAAGTTTTTGTGTGGACATATGTTTTCATTTCTCTTAGGTATATACATGGAGGAGTGGGATAGAGGGATAAATTAGGAGTTTGGGATTGACATATACACACGACTATATTTCAGATAGATAACAACAGGGACCTACTGTATAGCACAGGGAATTCTGCTCAATATTCTGTAATAACCTAACTGGGAAAAGAATTTGAAAAAGAATAGGTATATGTATATGTGTACCTGAATCACTGTGCTGTACACCTGAAACTAAGACAACTTTTTAAATCAACTCTACTCCAATATAAAATAAAAATTTTTTTAATTGTTTAGAATTATCTGAAAAAAATGTTTTTCAGAATAAATTGGATGTCCTAACAACTTCTAGTGATGACTTATGAGGATTTGTTTTTAATTTTGTTTCTAATCATTATTCACTCAGAGAGACCTGTGTACCCTCTACCCAGTTTCCCCTCTACCCAGTTTCCCCTAATACTTATATCTTAAACAACTGGATTGTAACATCAAAAGCAGGAATTTTCCATTGATGCAATGTATGTGTAGAGTTCTAGCATTTTCCATCACCTGTGGGTTCATGTAACCACCACCACAGTCAAGATACAGAACTGTTGATCACCACAGAGATCTCCCTCATGCTACCCCTTCATATAGCCACACACCATCACTAACCCTTAGCAGCAACTAATGGCTTCCACCCCTATAATTTTGTCATTTTGTGAATGTTATATAAATGAAATCATACAATATGTAACCTCTGAGACTAGCTTTTTTTTTCTCAGCAGGATACTCTTAAGATCCACCCAAGTTGTTGCCTTTATTAATAGTTTGTTTCTTTTTAGCGCCAAGGGGTATTCCGTGGTATGGATACACTGCAGTTTGTTTATTCACGTATTGAGGGACATTTGGGTTGTTTCCACTTTGGGCCTATTATGAATAAAGCTGCTATGAACAACGGTGTCTACAGGTTTTTGTGGGGAACATATGTTTTTATTTCTCGGGGATAAATGCCCAGGAGTGCAATTGCTGGGAAGTATGGTAAGTGTACATTTAGGCCTTTCTTTAACTGCCATCATTTTCCTTTTTGATGCCTAAATTATTCCATCTTTTCCCAGTGGAGGACCTTTCAAGTTGCTTCTTTTGACATGTTTCATTGGTCTTTTCTAGCTGCTGCTGCTGCTGCTTTTTTTGACTGGAGAAGACATCCCAGGCTCCTCTTGCACATTTCCAGCCCCAAACTTTAAATGGTGCTTTGGTACCTTTGACCATGTGCCTCTTATTGTCCTTGACAAGGTATTTGTTCATGGGAAGTGATAGATCAGCAGCAGACCTGCAGTCCGTTTTCTCCCATTACAAGTCAGATCTGCTCGTAAATATACCGAGGACCAATTTCCTGCAGCCAGACCTCATAGTATTTGCCAGTGGGGGAGTCCTTTTCTATAACAGCACACACGTGATGGTTCAGGATTGCTTACAATAAACAAATCTGAGATCTATGGGAAATGTTACCAAGCCAAGTAACTGAGCCCCAATTCAGAATAGCTCCTTCTTTGTGAAATCACCTCATGCATCATTTAGAGACCTCCTGAAGTACTCGTATATTGCTAGTAGAACTATAAAACGGTCAAAAATCATTTTGGAAAACAGTTTGTCAGTGTTTTCTTCTGCTTGGGCTGTCATAAAAAAATATTGTAAACTGGGTGGCTTAAAGAAACAGACATTTATTCCTCACGGTTCTGGAGGCTAGAAGTCCAAGATCAAGGTGCCAGGTGATGGGTTCCTGGTGAGAGCTCTCCTCCTTCTTGCAGACATCTGCCTTCTTGCTGTGTCCTTACGTGGGCTTTCCTTGGAGCAGAAACACCGTGGGGAGGGGGGCGCAGGGACTCTCCCTTTTCTCATAAGGCCATTAATCCCCTCATGACCTAATCTAACCTTACTTACCTTCCAAAAGCCCCATCTCCAAATACTGTCACATTAGGGGTTAGAAGTTCAACATATGAATTTGGGGGGCACAAACATTCAGTCCATAACAGAAAGTTCTGCATAAAATTAAACATATACCTACGCTATGACCCAGTGATTTTATTCCTAGGTATTTACCCAAAGGAAAGAAAACATACATTCACAAAAAGACTTGTAGAAGGATATTTATAGCAATTTCATTCCTAACAGATAACACCTGAAAACAAGACTAATAACCATCATTAGGAGAATGGATAAGCTAATTTCAGTAGGTTTATTGTATTCATCTGCTTGGGCTGCCATAACAATAAACTACAGATCTGGTGGCGTAAACAGCAGAAATTTATTTTCTCATAGTTCTAGAGGCTGGGGAGTCCAAGATCAAGGTTCCAGCTGATCCATTTTCTGGTGAGGGCTCTCAAACCTGACATCTCGAAGGCCTGAGAACCAGGGAGACCAATGCAGTGAGTCCAAAGGCTCCAGAACCAGGAGTGCCGATGTCCAAGGGCAGCAGCACATGGATGTCCCGCTTAGGCAGAAAGCAAATTGGTCCTTCCTCTGCCTTTCTGTCCTATTCAGGCCTTCACTGGATCAGATGCCGCCCACTGCATTGGTGAGGGTGATCTTTACTCAGTCTGATTCAAATGCTAATCTCTCCCAGAAACACAGACATGCCCAGAAATAACGTTTTACCAGCTATCCGGGCATCCCTTAGCCCAGTCAAGTTAACACATGAAATTAACCATTCAAACAAGCCAAAGACAGTCTGTGACATATTTGAACACCCAAAGCCTGGAACATAGGAAATAAAATTAATTCTAATAAATCAATACAAAAAAGTACAGACAGCCCGATACAAATGGACAAAAGACATTAACAGGCGTTTCACAAAAGAGGGTATCCAGCTGGCCAATACCTGTATGAAAAGGTGATCAACCACGTGAGCCATTAAACTAAAAATGAGTTCTCACTGCTCATCCGCCAGAGTGCCGGGATGGGGGACAGACAGCCTCGCAGTAATCTGTGTCGCTGAGAATGTGGAGCAACAGGAACCTCCACGCACTGACGGTAGCAATAAATTGGTCCCATCACTGAGGAAATCAGTGTGATGTTATATAATAAAATGAAACAGACTCGTGCCCCGGAACCCGCAACTCCACTACAAGGTACACACTCGAGAGAGCTCTTGCGTGTGCGCACCTGTACCTGAGCTTGGCATCCTCTCGAGAACTGGGTCTGAGAAGAGGACCTGCCCCTAGCTAGTCATTCTGGGATGCAGTCCTACAGAACCACAGTGGGGGGACTGACTAGAATGACTGGAACACGGAGGATGGAAAGCCATGCTAAGGGTGCGTCACTGGGCTGGTTACCATTGTGAGTAACCGGGGCTCAATCCTGTTGGAGACCCTCCGAGAAATTGTGGAGAGTGGCCTTCGGAATCATCCACTTGTGACTTGGGAGTGGGGAGTATTTATCTTCTGGCTTTTGGACCCATTCGCCAAGGGTCGTGGCCATGGGGGGTTAATGTTCTGCACTCGTGGGTTTTCACATTGCTCAGTGGAACCCTACCTATGTCCCGCGTGGCAGTTGGCACAGAGGCCCTGAGGCAGAAAGCAAGGGACACGCAGATTGGTGAGGTAACCTGCTGCCGTCTGTACCACCATTAGTTGGTTACCACAGCAACAACAGGAGAAAACAGGAGCCCAGAGAAGTGAGACAGAACATAAAAGATACCAACACATCAGAACACAAGACTGTTCATAAAACTTTATTATTGGAAACAAGCCAGCTTCCCATCGATACGAGAATGTGTTTAAGGGCTGTGCGTTCATACAGTCCTCTGCCACACCATCCTGGCCACGTTCTCGCTGGCTACTGCTGACTCCCCTTTATTTTAGTGTATGTGTAGTGAGCAATTTGATTCTGCTTTTAGATGAACTGGAAGCAATGCCCTCCTGTCACAGCGAAGTGTAGGATGGTCACGGTCCTTACAGAGCAAGAGGATGGGCTTTGGCCTCAGACGGACTTGGCACTAATCTTCATCATTCGCTCGGCTTCCTCCGCCATAAAATGATAACCATCCCTACCTTGTGTCTATTTCACAGCACATAACGCTTACTCCGCACCACACACTGTTCTAAGCCTCTCCAAATATTAACCCGTTCCATCCTCCCATCCCTCACTCCCATGAAGTAAATACTGTTCTATGCGTTTCCTAATGAAGGGACCGGGCACAGAGAGCTTACGTAACTCGGCAGGGCCACACAGCTGGTGAGTGGAGGAGTGCGCTGAGCCGGGATTTGAACGCCCCCCTGTCTGGCTGCAGAACCCGTGCCATCCAGCGGGAAAGAGGCGCATCCCCGGCCCAGCCGCGCAGAGAGGACTGCGCACCGTGTCTGCCGTGCGTGCGGAGCCCCACCTCCCCACGCGGCGCACGGCTGCGAGGGCGGCCCCGGGGCCCCGCCCCCGGGCGCCTGCGGCGCGGGCAGCGGGTTCTTCTCCCGGTCCGCCGTCGGGGGCCGCTGCCCGCGGTCCCCGGCGCCGGGCGCGCCCCGCAAGATGTCCGGGCGCCGCGGCCGGCAGCCCGGGCCCCGCCTGTGCTGGCTACTGTGCTGCAGCGCCCTGCTGTCCCCGGCCACGGGCTACGTGATCGTGAGCTCCGTGTCCTGGGCCGTCACCAACGAGGTGGACGAGGAGCTAGACAGCGCCTCCACCGAGGAGGCGCTGCCCGCGCTGCTGGAAGACTCGGGCAGCATCTGGCAGCGGAGCTTCCCGGCCTCGGCGCACGAGGAGGAGTCTCACCTGCCGCCCCCGGAGGGCACCGCCCGCGCCAGGCCGCCCCCTGCGCCGCCCGGGATGTTCTCCTACCGGCGCGAGGGCAGCGCGAGGCTGCGCCCGGGCACCGCCCGCTTCCTGGCCCACGCCAGCGCCTGGGGCTGTCTGGCCACCGTGTCCGCCCACGAGAAGGTAAGCCACCCGACCGGGAGCGGCGTGCAGGGAACAGGGAGAGCCTGGGGCCACTCCCGCGCTCGGATCCAGGTCTAGCAGACGTGCGCTGGAGGCTGGATCGGCGTGGACAGCGTGTAATTAATGCAGCCAGATTGTGCTTCGGTTACCCTGGCACCCTGGCAAAGGCAGGAGGGGTGGGGGGGGGGTGCTGGGGGAGAGGACGACAAGCAGGCTTCCTGCCAGGTGGATGGGGACCGTAGCGCAGTCGAGAAGCGCAGTCTTGAAATGGCCAAAGAGGTGTGCAAATAACCAGCGCCCGACCAGAGACCTGGACAAAAGAAGCCTGAGCCACCTTTGGCATCACCGAGTAGCGCGTCCAGCCCCTGCCCGCCCATAGACCAGAGCTGCCCCATCACTTACTGACCCCGAACCGGGGCTTTGGCGGAAATTTGCATTTTAAAAAATGGAATTCGAGAACTGTTCTGGAAAGGAGATTTATTGTGCGAAGCGTGTAAATGTTGGACTGACAGCGCTGTCGTCAGCTGCAGCTTTCATCGTTCGTTTCACAGATGTTTTACTCACCTGTTAGACATGATTCCACCTGAAGTGGAAATGCCGTGGATACATGATAAAGATGTAACATCCATACGTGTACACCCTCCAGAAAGCTTTTAGGGCTGTTAAGACAGATGTAAGGGTTTTATTACAGGGCAGTAATTTGAACTCCTATTTATATCATGCAAAAAAAAAAATACTGTTTTATGGAGTGTGTAAGTCATTGGCCGGGGGAAAGGTTCTGGGCCCAGCTCTGGGTCTCACCAGCTCAGAGACTGTGGCCAAGTCAATGGGTTCTCCACTTTGCTTTCCTCATCTATGAAATTAAGTGGTGGACTAGGTAGTTTTGAACGTCCTTTTTTGCTTTGAAAAAAAAATATCTAAATGACAACTTTTTTTTTTTTTTTTTTTTTTGCGTTACGCAGCCCTCTCATTGTTGTGGCCTCTCCCGTTGTGGAGCACAGGCTCCGGACGCGCAGGCCCAGCGGCCATGGCTCACGGGCCCAACCGCTCCGTGGCATGTGGGATCTTCCCGGACCGGGGCACGAACCCGCGCCCCCTGCATCGGCAGGTGTACACTCAACCACTGCGCCACCAGGGAAGCCCGACAACTTTATTTTGATGAGAAATGATCATAAGGTCTTTCACAGCTTCCAAATAGTTCTTCACAGCTATATCTTATACTCCTAAGACATACCTTCGGAAGATATGAAGCTTAAATATGAAGCTGATCTTGGTTTAAAACACAGATCACTTCAAGCAATTAAAACTCTAGTGCCAGTGTATTCAAGGTATTATGACTTTCAACATCCCTTTTCTTAGCTTTGTTAGTAGTTCCCTTTTCCAGTATTGACGTATACTCCAAATGCAATAAATTCAGAGAACATTTACCATGTGCCTGGCACGTGTGCAAGACATGACTCTACTCAGTTTGTGAGTGACCAGCTGAGAAACAGGAGCTGGGAATGACATATTAGCATTTTGTAGGATTCCTCAACATTGGGTTTTCTAAAAGATTAAAACCACCCCTTATCACAATTCTACACACTGTTGTCATGCGACACTTCAAAGACAAAGATAGCCCCGAGTTCTGAGCTAAGTAACAATGAGGAACGCTCTGTGAAGGGTAAAGGTCATGATGCTGGACCCAGCAGGGCTTGGGAGAAACCTAAGAAGTATTTGTGTATGTGTCTGAGAATTTCATCTGCTCTACTGGATGATCGTGAGCAAAACATTGGTTTAGCATGTTTATGTGTCTTCCTTGAAGCTAGAAGGATAAGAAACCAAATTCCCATAAGTTGCTGAGTTATCCTATTAAAATATTATTGATTACAATTTTAAAATGTGACTAATAAGTGAGAAAGTGGTGTGACCCTAAAGGAAACAATACCAGAAAGTTCCTGGAGTCCAAAGACCAGGTAAGATGTTAGGTTAAGACTTAGATTCTGGGCTTCCCTGGTGGCGCAGTGGTTGGGAGTCTGCCTGCCGATGCAGGGGACATGGGTTCGTGCCCCGATCCGGGAAGATCCCACATGCCGCGGAGCGGCTGGGCCCATGAGCCATGGCCGCTGGGCCTGCGCGTCCGGAGCCTGTGCTCCGCAATGGGAGAGACCACGACAGTGAGAGGCACACGTACCGCAAAAAAAAAAAAAAAAAAAAAGACTTAGATTCTATCCCCAAAGTTGCCAAAAATATGGGGGAGGTGGTGAAGGCAGTGGGGCTCCCAAGGGCTAGCTTGTGAGAAAGGTTTTAGTGACCCTCCACCCTTCCATGATTTTCATTGCCTTTACCCCAAATAACTTTCAGTTTAATAGAGTGTGTTTGCTGTGTACCTGCAGCTTCAAGAATAATCCCCTAACCATCCCTCCTCTACAGATGCCACTGCTAAGCTCCTCTGTAGGAATTCTGGAGCCGTCACCGGGTGAAGTGGGCAGGTGGGGAACCACTTCGCTTTGATTCATGACCTGTCAAAACCACGGTGATGCCATGCTGCCCTCGCACCCCCAATGCTATATTTCCTGGTCAGAGACACAGACTGAGCTCCCAGCTCAAGTCAATCCACAACCCTGCATTGAAAAGGCCTTTTTTGTTAGATCCCAGGACTGCCGTTTGGGAACTGCCTGCCGGTCAGTGACGGCCCCTTCAACAACAGCACGGGGGTTCCTTTCTTCTATGTGACACCCAAGGACCTCCTGGTGGCTGATCTGATGAAGAACCCCACGGCCTCCCTCCTGCTGCCGGAATCCGAAGGAGAGTTCTGCAGGTAGGCAAGGGCCCGGCCTCCCCCATCCAGGTCCTCTGCACGAGGCAGGGAGGCTGTGGCTTTCACGGGGCCCTGAGATGCAAAGCATTGTCTTTGCCACTTGGCTAGGGGGCAGGTTCTGGGCCTGGCTCTGGGTCTCACCAGCACCGAGACTGTGGCTAAGTCACTGGGTTCTCCACATTGCTTTCCTCATCTATGAAATTAAGTGGTGGACTAGGTAGTTTTGAAGGTTCTTTTTTGCTTTGAAAAAAATTATTGAAATGACGACTTTATTCTGATAAAGTGATCTTAACTTCTTATGTGGCTTCCAAATGGTTTTTCACAGTTATGTCTTAGGCTCCTAAGACACATCTCCAGAAGATACAAAACTTAAATATGAAGCTGATCTTGGTTTAGAATACAAGTCATTTCAAACAGTTAAAAGCCTAGAGCCAATGTGTTCCAGATACATTGGCAACGTATGTTGTAGAAATGTATTTTCACGTGGAAAGAGTATATATAGCCGTGGAATCAGATCAATAGAATTCTACCACTCACCAAGCTGTGTGATTTGGGGCAAGTTATTGAACCTTCGGGAGCCTCCGTTTCCTCATCTGTAAAATGGGAATAGTAGTTTCTACCTCCTAGGGTGATGGAGAGAGTTGGAAAGATTTGTAGCGTCTTGCACAACACTGGATGGATAAATGGCAGCTCTCTTTGTCACGGCAAAGGTGGGGGTGGGGGAGGGGAGGGGAGGGGAGTGAAGGAAGAGCCAGTGGTTTGTCTCCAAGGCACATGCAGCATAGAATACACTTATTGTTTTTCAAATTAATTTCTACCTGCCCTAGTGAGGTGTGTGCAATAAAGACCCAGAGGCCCTTAAATCACGTTCTCAAAAACTCTCTCAAAGAAAGGACAGTTGGGCAAAAATGGAACACTGTGTCCAACACCTTTGTCTGAAATCAGAATGTGGAGCTTGAGGTCCAATCCTGCCACTGCCGTGTCTGCGCCGAGCTTGGGGAGGGTGGGGGGCGGGACGCACGTGGGAGGGCACCCCTGCAGTAGTAGCAGAGGCAGCAGGGGACCTTGGGCAAGTCCCTTCGCCTGTAATGTAGTGATGCTTTTCGAACTGGGATAAGATACCCCCAGCTCCAAAATGCTATGACTCTTTATGCAAAATATGAAAAACACATTCAGCAAACAAATGTGTCAGTTCTTTGAGGAGGGGAAGTGGTAATAATCAAAGCAACAATGCACCATAAAATGCAGCCTGGATAGGACCCTGTCGCTTACCCCTGGGAACTGGTGGGAGATCCATCCATCAGGGTGGAGGCAGTTCAGCTGACCCAGTGCCCTATTGGGGCTGGCAGGAAGCCAGGAAAAGGAGTGCCTCCTCTTTTCATGGAATAGTCTCCTTGTTCTTGACTATTTCATGGAATAGTCTCAACAAGCTTGCTGTTACTAGAAGTATATTCCCAGGTACCTTTCTAGACGTCTGAGGTGTTCCTCATTCAGGCAGCCTAAAGGCAGCCATTGTGCAGGGCACGTTGATCGCAGACCCCAGAGCACACCGGTCCCTGGAGGTGGGCACAGAATAGAGCAGAGGACGTACCGCAGCACTGAGGTTGTGGAGGGAATTGTCTCCTGGAAGGTCCCAGGCAGCCGTCAGCAGGAGCTTGGGGCCATGAGAAATCCAGCTTAGAGAGGCCCTCTCTGGGGGCGGGGGCTGGGCACGCTTGCGGCCATGTGTGCGGACCCTCTTCGCAGCAGGTCGCGCTTGGAGTTGCAGACCTCCGTGCAGCACACCAGGGTACCTGGATGAGGCAACTCACGGCCGGAGGGGACCACCCAGCCCCACCCCACCCCCCAGGGCCAAGGGCACCAGTATCCCAGACCCTTGTAACTGGCCTGGAGGAGGAGGGATGAGCCACCACCCACTGGTACCCCTCTGTCTAAGCCCTCATGTGAAACTCTACTCCCTCGCACTGTGCCAGCTTCTGAAGTCTTAAAATACAATGTAAATAAATATCTACACAGTTAACTGTGGCCTTAGTAAGCATCGCGCCTCAAAGCAGGGATTGTCAGACAATGAGGCTCGTTGTCCCCCCGGGTCCACTACTTTCCAGGACCTGCTTCAGCCCAGGTGTGATTCAGCTGCGTGAAACTCACATTCCAAGTGCAGCATCACCCTGTAGGTTTTGCCTCCAGAATCTTGGTAATGTTGAGCAGAGACTTAACAAGTCAAAGGCGGGCAAAGAGCAGAGCCCTGAATTGAACAGCGCTCCTCGGGCCACGGGAGCGTAAAGAAGCATCAGGTGGAAACGTCCGTGGCTAAGAACGTCCCTGACAAGCACCTGCGTGAAGTTCAAGGGGCCGCCTGCAAGGCTGCAGGAAGCTGCCCCTCCTGCCTGATCCCGGCCTGCAGAGATTCCCACGGAGCAGGGAGAGCCAGAAAAGCACCCACTTCTCACGGTGATGACGGTAAATCCAGGACACCTGATCCTTTGACCTTTGGAAAGCATGAGAATCGCCTCCGTTCCGTGAAGCAGGTGTTCTTGTGAACTGCAAACTTTCAGCAGCATTTTTACCCTCAGATCTGGTGCATTCTGTGCGCTCATGTCCCTCTGCCTGTCTGTGCACTGGGGTGGAGGTGGATTTTCCCTAAGCGGGAAGACAAAGCCAGGACCCGGCCTGTCTACACGATGCCTCCTGAGACTCCTGTAGGCCTGGGGGGCCATGTTTGTCTGAGGAGCCCTTAGAGCCTGAACCATAAACCAAGGTCGGACAGAGAGGGAGCAGCGTGGCCACTGATGCTCTGAGAGGAGGAAAGAGGTGCCTTCCCAGCCGTTTCCTGCAGGGTCCACTGGGCATCTCAGCTGCAGGTCTGCCTCTGCATCCAGCAGGGTTAGCCCTGGTTCCTGCAGAGTCTGGACTGGGGCAGTCTGGTGAGCTCGACCTCCACCGACAGGACATAGCTTGAGAAGGAAGCCGTCCAACAAACAGAAGCGAATGTAAGTCTGATTCCACTGCAAGGGCAGGCTGAGCTGGCCCTCTGTACTTTAGAGCTCCGTTGGGTGTACAGGACAATTGTATGTATAATGTGTATGTGTTTAATAAGCAGATGGGTGGACAAGACAGAGGGAGAGAGGGAGAGAGAGGGATGATGATAGATAGATAGATGTGTGTGTGTGTCTTCACATACTCAACTATTATCTGTTCTGGGAACATATACTACAGTTGCCCCCAACTGGTCTCCCCAGTTCACGCTCTCTCACCTTGATTTCATCCTCAATCCAATATCTGAAGTAATATTTCAAAACCCATATAAGACCCTGGGATTCTCCTGCTTAAACTCTTTCACTAGGAGAAATAGCAAACTCCTGAATGTGGCCTAGGAGGCCCTGCCTGGAGGACACCTGCCTCCCTCTCGGAATAAATAATAGTGGCTAATCCTTTGCTGATTGACTTAGTATGTGACTTATACCCTAGTTTTATTAAATGGAGAGGTTTAACCTGAACACTTGTAATCTAAACTGATGTATGTGTCTGGCATACAGCTAAGAAATGCTTTTTTAAAAAATTGAGATATAATTGATGTATAACGTTGTCCATGGTGTTAATTTGATACATGTATGTATTGCAATGTGGTTATCCCTGAAGTCTTAGCCAACGTCTCTGTCACGTCACATAATTATCATTTCTTTTTTGGGGTGAGAACATTTAAGATCTAGTCTTTTAGCAACTTTGAAGTTTATAATACAGTATTGGGGGCTTTTTTGTTGGGTTTTGTTGTTGTTGTTTTTTTAAATTTTTTTTTTTTTGGCTGCGCTGGGTCTCAGTTGCGACACACGGGAGCTTAGCTGCTGCGCTCGGGCTTCTCTTTAGTTGTGGTGTGTGGATTTTCTCTTCTCTAGTTGAGGCACGTGAGCTCAATAGCTGTGGCACTCGGGCTTAGTTGCCCAGCGGCGTGTGGGATCTTAGTTGCTTGAGCAGGGATCCAACCCACGTCCTCTGCATTGGAAGGCGGATTCTTTACCACTGGACCACCAGGGAAGTCCCTGTAACACAGTACTGTTGAATACACTCACTGTGTTGTGCTTTAGATCTCCAGGACTTATTCGTCTTCTAACTGCGAGTTTGTGCATTTTGACCAACATCTCCCCAGTTCCCGAACCCCCAGGCACTGGTAACCTGGTAACCATTAAATCTCTGTTTCTATGAGTCTGGCTTTTTTAGTTTCCACATATAAGGAATATCGTGCAGTATTTGTCTTTGTCTGATTTATCTCAGCATAATGTCCTCAAAGTCCATCCATGTATTGCAGATGGCATTATTTCACCCTTTCTTATGGCTGAGTAGTATTCAATGGTATATATAGGTACCACAACTTCTTTATCCATTCATCTGTTGATGGACATTTAGGTTGTTTCCACATCTAGGCTATTGTGAATAGTGCTGCTATGAACATTGGGGTGCATGTATCTTTTCGAATTAGAGTTTTCATCTTTTCTGGATATATGCCCAGGAGTGGGATGGCTGGATCATATGGTAGCTCTATTTTTAGTTTTTTAAGGAACATCCATACTGTTCTCTATAGTGGCTATACCAATTTACATTCCCACCAACAGTGTAGGAAGGTTCCCTTTTCTCCACACCCCCTCCAGCATTTATTACTTGTAGACGTTTTGATGATGGCCATTCTAACCAGTGTGAGGCGATACCTCATTGTAGTTTTGATTTGCATTTCTCTAGTAATTAGCGATGTTGAGCATCTTTTCATGTACCTGTTGGCCATATGTATGTCTTCTTTGGAGAACTGTCTATTCAGATCTTCTGCCCAGTTTTTGATTGGGTTGTTTATTCTTTTGATATTGAGTTGTATGAGCTGTTTGTATATTTTGGATATTAACCCCTTGTCAGTCGCATCATTTGCACATATTTTCTCCCAGTCCATAGGTTGTCTTTTTGTTTTGTTGATTGTTTCCTTTGCTGTACAAAAGCTTTTAAGTTTGATTACATCC